AAAATCTGTCACCCATTCTATCTCAAAAACAGAGAATCATCTGAGACATTATTGCTTAAATGCACGGATAATTATATTGTTTAGATTTAGCAGTGATTACCTATTGCCTCCTCACAGTCAAATAGAACTGGAGTTTGTCTCTTGTCAATGCTTGCTGTCTGTCTGAAAACCTGTATTTCCAGCTGTGAAATAACAAATAACCAGTCTTTACCCCTTCTCTACCCTCCTGAATTTCCCAGAACTTTCAGATGTGAAAATTAAATATCTTGTGTGTCTGTCTGCTCTCATCTTATTAAGACTTTTTATTTTTTTAGTAAATAACTGTGGAGATCTGTCATATCAACTGTAAGCATGGAGTGGAGAAGAATGGCGTAGATAAAGCATGGAAAAAGATCAGCTGAGGAGGACTCTAATACTCAATAAACTTCAATCTTTGCAGGCAAAATTCAAATCTTCAGTACTTACATTAACACAAAGCACCTTCGCCTAGCTTGAAAAATATATCCGTATCATGTTTTTTCCACATCCTCACCCTACTTCTCGTACCGGTTCAGAGTTGATGGTCAAAGATGTCTGCTGTGCTTGCTGGAGGAATTTCCCTGCATCACCTGTAAGGACTCCAGCTACTCCATATTCTCTCCATGTGCTGTCCTCACACCCATCTCTCCCAGCACACACATCTGCAAGTGGAAAATCAACTGCTTTTTCTGTAGGTCCCGCATAAGCAGATCTCTGTTAAGTTGAAGAACTTGCATATGTGCTGTCTGCCCCTACAGAGCTAGCTGCAGAAATGAAATATATATCAGTCGAGCAGAAAGATGCTTTTTATCCCCTTTAAGATTGCAGTTTCTAAATACATATTTTTTTTAAAAGTCCATGTGAAAGTATTTAGCTGTGAAAGCCACTTCATTTTAACATGTGAAAATCAGAGCAGAGATACTGTATCTAAAGCCAGACAATGACGTACCTGTACCCCTCTTTATAAAAGCACGTCTTCCAGTACACATTGGGGGGGGGGGTTGTTTGTTTTTGTTTTGGTTTGGTTTTTTGGTTTTTTTCCTGTATTTCCTGTGTAGAACAGTTAACTGGCAAACTGACTCCTAGATTGAAGGAAGTGCTTTCATGAGATGATTTTCAAATAATTAAAAACCTTAGCTAAGGGCCTTGTCTTGTTCCTGCGTTTTTAAAAGAAAGATGCCCACACTTTATTTTTTAGGTACATTTTAGGTACTTTTTTTAGCAAGTAAAACTGCCTACAAAGTAAGCAAGCTCCCTGTAAATTTTCATCATCTCTCATTGTAGCTGTTGCTTAAAGTATCTTTGAAGAATTAACAGAAACTGCTGTCAGTGAAAGAAACCAGTATATTGCATAAATAAACTTCAATTTTACTTCCAGGAGTTGAAAATGAGAATAAAACCTGTCTGTTTCCAACAAACAATTTTTTACTCTGCTGACATGCAACCTCTGGCTGAGTCACCACTGTGAGTCCTGTGATATCCAAAAAGGAGTTAATCAGCTTTCAGTAGTGCTAGAAGCATCATGTTGCAGCCCTGACACTATCAGCAAGTGACAGTACAGTCTGATGATGTAATCCTTCTAACTTTGTCTTACGTTATTACATCAGAGCACCTTGCCTATACAGGTACAGGGGCAGATCAACTGCATTTCCAACTCGTTATCAGTTGTTGGTACATAAACATCCTCCAACCCCTGCAGCTCCAATGCAACATTAATTTTGCAACATTAATTACGGTTAATATACTGGGAGAAAAATATTTGAATGCAATACTTATTAAAATGTGTTAACTCATCTGAAATCAGTACATGTATTTATAAAATCAAGATAAAATATTTGAAGATATTTATAGTGGTGCTTTGGAGAAAAATGTGTTATTTTTCTTTACCATTTTACTTATTTCACTTCTTATTTCACACATAAAAATAAATTTAAAATGAAGTCTCAAGAAACACTGACTTAAAAATACCAAGCATACAAAAACACTCTTACAGAGAAGAAGAAATTCAGAATTGCAACTTGAGCAGGATTTGGGGGGAAGGGGCTGTTATTTTGATAACTACAGAACATCCATAAGGCTCTAAAAATGATAATACGGATTACAACAATTCTCACTTTTTCTTCACACCACTTCAAAAATCTGCAAATAAAAATAAGATATTTGCTATTAGGAACTACAATCTTGTTGTTCAAATGGGAGAAGCCTCCAGGCAGATATTACAAAGAATTCTGAAACCAGAAGTACAATTAGACCCAGGGCCAACAGCCTGGAGCATGACTCAGTCAAGGGAGATCAGATCATAGATCAGTATCTCTGATAAAAAGAACAAAAGCAGAATTAAGCAGGCTGCATGCAGGCAAAGAAGTAATGAGTAGCAATATTTTCCTAGCCTCAGTTTGAAGAGGAAAATAAATTGAGAAATATGAGACGACAGTCATATGTTGATATTATTGCTATATTCTTCTGGGAAAGAATCCCTTTAAAAATCAAACTAGGACTGTGCTGTTTAATGCCTATTAACTGCGAACTTTAGTGATTTAATGTCATCTTCAGACCCTATAACTACAGATCCATACATATAACTTTACCCACATGAATAGTCTCAAAGATTTCAACAGGATAATACACATATCAAATGCACAGCCAATATTTATGTGAAAGGAAGTAGTACACTGTAACATGAATAAATAATGCCTAATGAAAGGTTGGTTTCGAGGCAACCTTATTTAAAAAAAGTAGTTACTGGGTCATTTGTAAGACGAGCGTGTTCAAACGCGAACCAGCGCGATCTGCTGGGGCAATTTCTTTTTGCCCCCATCGCCTCAGCCGCCACCTCTGAGGGAAGGGAGGCTGCTGAACCTCCTCTCCCCAGGACACAGCTGTTGAGTATAAAGTCTTGTCTTCCATCCAGACCGTGTGCTTCACCCAGAGCAAGTCCTCTCCTTGGCTAAGAGACCACAGGAGCAGTGGGCAGTGCGAAACCAAGAGAAATTTTTGAAGGAGGCAAGTTTCTATTCAACTCATTAGAAACATGACAGTATTCCACATCAAATAAGCCTTGTGGTTACATATCTCCTTTGTTTTTGAACTTGCTTTAAGCTGGTATTAGAGTGTTATTTCCTTTTTTGACAATTTGCGGGCATCCTGCTACCATGGGTAAAGTCATAACTAAATTCCCTTCTCAGTACTCACTCTAAACCCGAGTGGGAAAGTAAACACCTTTGCACAATGATTTTTTTTGCTTGTGTGTTCCTCTAGTTGCTTTTGCAACACAAGCAGCTTTGCTCGGCAGCAAATCCTATTCAAGCAGTTATTGTGATTGCCTGCACTAACATGAGACACTCATTTAAGAAGATTACAAAATAATGATGAAATTGCAGCATTACAGTGTTGTAAATCTCATCGGTGAGGATAGAGAGGAGCTCTCGGAAAGTAACAGATTGCTATTTCAAGTTTCTCAATTTCCATTATCTGACTTCTCTGAACATAAAGAAACTAAAAAATTTGATATTTTAAACTGAATTAAATCCTTCTGAGGTAGCGGTGTATAATGCCTATATTGTAGTTTAGAAGTTTAGTTTCACCCCAGAGTTAACAAATGCATAGAAGGTGATTAAAATGCAATTCATTCTACCAGTAACTTGTTTCATAAACATGTATGTTGGCACTTTAAATTACCTTGCAAAACCTAGGCCACATCAGCCTGTGCATTAGGCGTTTTTGTACTATACTGGGTAATTGCATTGGAAGTGCTTAAAACTATGAAGTGTCGGTTTGTTGAAAGACCCAGTGAGATAGCCAGTATTTGAGAATTATATATTGTTAGCAAATAATCAGCAAAGCCAAATAATGAACTTAGATTAATTACCAGATTGGGGAGGCACCAAAATCATGGGATTTGTATGTTGTGTTCAGCTGAGAGGCTCAGGTTCAGGCAAAACTGAAGACTAGTGAAATTATCTATAAAACTTCAACCCCGTCACGAAAGCAAACCTGCTGATCTTGCAAGAAACCTCACTCCTTGCAGATACTCTCAGCAAAATATTCCCTTTTCTTTTCTGAAATTCCACAACCTCAGGGGGTCTGTGCCTTTCTGTGCTGTACTGCGGTCGCGTGCTCTGCTATGAAAATGGGTAAGGTGGCTTGTGCAGTACAGTGTAGTAAGTGATTAAAAAATAAGAGTAGCTGTTCTCAACTTGGATATACCGGCACTACTTACACTTCTAGCATCCTAGTAGTACCGTCTGTTACTGGGTATTCAGTGCTCTCACTTGCCCCAGACACCTTTTCTGAAGCAGTTTATATAATCAACTAAGCAACTTATACCCATATTCACAAGTGGTTCATCCATCCAGACACTCATGCAAAGTATTATAAAATGCATTACCATATGTATAAGGCTTTATGTATAGATATTATATATGTGTTCATACATAGATATGTTTTAATTTAACATACCTTCTGAAAAGGACAAATCTGAGCAAGTGAAATCCTTCTCCTATTGAATTTAATAGTAAATAACCTCAAACATAAGCCAAGTTTGGGACATAATGAGAAAGATTTCTGGACATTTTTCATACTTAAACCTAGGTGAGGAGCTTTTTGGGCTCAGATTTGTGATGAAGCTAGTGAAATAAAATAGTCGTTGATGACGGAGAGCTATAATCCACTACCATTGCCTCTGCACTGGTCCTTGTAGCAAGACTCCAAGGACAGGAGTCTGCTAGAAAAACTGCATCTTACACACAGACATAAAATAAAATAAAATAAAATAAAATAAAATAAAATAAAATAAAATAAAATAAAATAAAATAAAATAAAATAAAATAAAATAAAATAAAATAAAATAAAATAAACCCCCCTAGTTATCCTTTCTCATTTATCAGGAATACTCTAGCCATGAATAGAGCTCCAACTGAGTTATCTGTTTATGTAAATTACCTTGAAATTATTTTTATATTATACAATTAGCTGGGAGCTGGGTTGCATCTCTCTTGTGGGTATGGTAGCCAGCAGGAGAAATCATCTCTGCACTCCTGGTGTGTTGCATGTCTGCTGCCCCAAGACCTTCCACTCTGGGCCTGCAAAATATGCAAATATGAACAAGCTATTGACTCAATTTGTTAAACATTTCAGGAAAGTGGCATCAGAGTGTGAATTTCCATAGCCCTCACAGTAGCTCTTGTGGACAGTACTTGCCCATTTAGAATTATGTCTTATTTCCATCCAGAAGGGAGAGTGTGTTTTTTGATATAATGAGACACTTGCAGGAATTAGCTGGTAAGGAAACCCCCCTAAGCATTTATTTTTATTGTAAGGCACAAACACTTTTAAAATTCTTGGGCCAGTGTTCCTATTCTAGCCAGTTTAGTTTTAAAGTAATTTGAGAAAACCCATCTTTATTGCTTAAAAATATGCCTTTAAAAATATCCTTTATAGCCAAATTTTGAAACAGCTGAACTTCTGTGGAAAAAACTTAATGATCTACAGTTACAGTATCCTGTAGTTGCAAGGAGCATTTCCCCCTAAATGTAAATGTTTTACATTTGAAAAACAAAGTTAAGCAAAACATTATTCTGCTTTCAGATTTCAAATGAGTTTTGGCAGACAGCATATGTTCCCCAAAAGCATACTTTGGGGACTTGGGCTTTGACAGAAGGGAAGCACTAAAAGGATAAGCAACTGAGTGATATATTCCATCTCTGTTTTTAGTAATGTTATCATTTATAGCATTTACAACAACAACAAAATGATTATTCACAAAACCACAGCTGTCCTTCAAACTACTCTTAAAACTTGTCTCTATCATGGTGCTTACAAAAATTTGACAATGGTTAGGCAGATTATATTCTGCAATTGCCACTTATTCCAAAAATGAGAATCATTTCATCCCTAACTATTGTTTCTTCTATCTCCTTTTTGTACTTGCCTTGTGAATAGGGACTAGATTTTGCTATATGTTCCAAAACATGTAGGTAATAATGATGGAGACTCTAGATGAAGAAACAGGAAATAGAATAATGTTTATTTTTAAGACTAAAGCTCAAGTTCTGAGTTATAGAGAACTGAGCAAATGACAGCAAATGGCCCTGTATTTACCTTAGATAATAATTTACTCCAATAAATTATTAAATTATATCTAATTGTTTCTCTTAGGTAAGTCTATCATATTAAATAATCTGATGTATGAAATCAGATTTAAGTGTCAAGTTGAAAGAAATCCAGTGAAAAGGTCTCTCCAGGTATCATTGGAATGCCAACATTAAACTGAAGATAGGAACATAATTAAAAAAAAAAAAAAAAAGCAGCGTTTCCAGTACAACCCCAGCAATTGTTTTTGGGATAGATCACAAGAGAATTTCAGGCAAATAAAGAACTCTTTAGGTGTATTGCTGAGATTCAACATCATCATGAAAGCAACTAGTTTTCATCAGCTGCCTTAAAATCCCTTAGCCATCACTGTTTCCACCACAAGACATATAAAACCACGCTTGATTTCAAGACTAGTATGTTTACAGCTCCAGGGGTAAAGGCAGCAAGATTCATCTGTCACCTTGTCTCCACCTAGTACAGATCTATCCGATAGGTGTTCTCAAAATATCTTATCACACCAGATTTCTTAACACACAAACTGTGAGGAAATGTGGAGGTGAAAAAAGCTGTCCTAAAATGCCAGGGCTTCAAGAACCGTTTTCAGTACTGGAGAATCAGCTTTGAAATTTCACTGAAATCTGAAATGCCTCTCACTGGGACAGGGATTTCTAACTTCCAAGACAACAGCCCAATCCTCAGACCGTGGGCATGCTCTTGACAAAACTGGATTTCTCCAGTTCTGAACATCTGGGGATAGGGAAGAAGAGAAAAGAAATTGAAACACTTTCTCCATCCATCTAAAAACAAACCAATGATCAGATTTTTTATTCATATCAGTGAAGTGTTAGAGCGCTATATAGAATATTCTAAACAAAAATCTCCTCTGAATATGTATATAAAACCTTGAATGAATTTTTGAGCACTTCTACAACTTTAGTAGTAACCCATGAAGTTCTGGGCTGAAATTGTTCAAACGGTAGCTAATATTCAAATAAACCCATCAAAACTGTATTTGCAACAGACTGGCATCATGAAAAGAATTTTGGATAAAGGGGAACAGATGAAGAGAAATAGCAAAGAGAACTCAGAGGAGCTGTCAAAGTCCCCCAGGACAGTTTTAGACAGAATTAGGACACCATTTGCAGGGAAAGTTGTTGTTATGGACACTGAAGGCTCATCCCCAGCCTCACATGAAGGAAGCAGTCAGAGAAGAACCTGGTTGTTCATCTCTAATTGGAATTCAATTTACATTTAACTTTCCCATAACCTGTTGGTTCCAAATTTTAAAGTAGAGCCTCAGATTGGACTTTCACCTGGACATGTATCCAGGATTAAATAGAAAAATCTTGGGGAGCACTCTTCCTAGCAAATCTGAACAAAACTGGGATACAGAAGCACATACAGGATACTGATCTATGCTTCAGGGACACGAGAGTTAAACACAAACACTCAAGTTAAATACCGACAGATAGCATTGGGTAGGTGCCAGGACAGGTAGAAAGACACCATCTGGGAGGTGTGATACCTTGGCAAAGCACATCCCCTCTACAAAGAAACAATGGCACACAGCAGGTTTACAGCCTTAGCATGGTGTTTCAGAGCTTATCTCAGCATCCCTGCTGCTGAATCCCAACTATAAATTGCAGCACTGACTTGTACCTGATTTTCCCATATCTTTGGTGAGTGCCGTAGGCACCTTCTCTTCCTTTTCTCTCCTCCCCAGTCTTCATGGCCCAAAGCTTGGCATAATTAATCTTTGATTAGAGATTAAAAATAATTTTAGATGAAGTAATTGAGGCAGATGGTTCCCAGAATACCACAGACTGTGGTGTTGGGGTATTCTTAGTGAAAGCCAAAAATTTTTAAATTCTGCACCAAATAAGACTGATTTTTTTATAAATTCCAGTGGGACATTAGACCATGGATACAGATGATTCTTTGTGATGAAAATGAGGATACTCTAGCACAAAGTCCAGCTGAGAAGTCAGACCCTGAATTCTCGCTCCACCATTTCCTAATTGACATTTTCCCGCCCAGCCTGCTATTGGCCCTGTATCATACAGCTTCCAGGGCACAGTGTGATGTTACTCAGCAAGTTGGGTATGCAAATTTCAATAGACAATGCAGCGTCCAAGAGCTAGGGGACACACCAAATTTCATAGCTTGACTGAGTCTTTGCCAGTACTCAGTCACCAGATTATTCTGTAGTGATACAACAAGTATTTTGAACCATCTGCAGAGTAGGTATTATTGGTTAAGCAGTCAATTCATCAAATTACTGTATTTCAAAATTGTAGAGTCAATATACCCTGGCTTTCTGACAGAGAGTGGGAGTAGGAGGAGGAAAGTAAATATTCCCCTTAGTACTAAGAGACTGAAGAGACATCGTTATAAATGCACATGGAAATACAGAACACTAGAAACTAGCAACCAATTAAAGCTCTTATATCTGTTTTTTATCTCTATCTCAATCCTTATCTTATAAAACCTTTCAATAGGAAAGGAAAGACCATTCTAAAGGCAGTAAGTGGAGTTTGAGGTAGATAACTGATTATAAAGTCTCCAAAGGCATCCAGGGCTCTCAGAAGTAAAGATGTAATTTAGAAGTTGATAATGTACCTCTGAGTGCTTCAGCCACAAAACTCTCCACATTGCTCTAGGTGATCTAGAGATACTGGCAGCAAGATAGTCACCTTGGTTGAGATCTCCACAAAATTGTTGTCTTCCTTCTGAGTCTTGCAACAGCAACACACAGTGCAGTATGGAGCTGTACAAAGACATTTGGCCTTTCAGTAGCAGTCAACACCTTAGACCAGTCAGCCTAGAGTACCCAAATGAATTGGATAAAACAAAGTGATAGTAAAAATCCTACTTTCACCAAAAGAAAGAACTTCAGTGATTTAGGCCAGTGCTTACTATACTAATTTTTAACAGAGGCTTGCTGGCTAAAGGCCAGGTAGACACCTACAGCAACCACAGCCACAAAACTTATTTGTACCAAAATGATTCAGTTCTTTAAATCTGGCTCTAAAATTACAGTACAATAAACCAAGGCACAGTCATGTGTCGAACTGCAACAATAATTTCCCTAAAACCAGAGCTGGCAACACACTTTACATTACTGGCTTGCATAAGCACCTCTTCTTCAGACATTTTAATGCACCATTCAACAAGTCATTGCAGGCTGCTGTGAATCTGTGTGTATTCCAGGCAGCAGCTGTTGGGAAGCCACACAGGTCTACATGTAAATCACACAACTGCAGACTTCCTGGGAGAATTAACGCAGGTCAGACCAAGATAATTCTTGTATTAAAGGAAGGAAAGGAAATGTAAACCTAGGAACTACACTTGGTTAGGTAATGATGTAGGCTTTGTGCATTTTCTTTAACCGAGTAGTTAAAGTTCACAGACCAGCTTCAGGTAAAGAAACTGCCTGGAAATAGTGGTGCTTCAAGTTTATTCTTTTTTTCAACGCACAGCCTCAGGATAGGGTAAAAATGCTTTATTCAAAACTACATTTTAATTAAAACAAGATAAAGGGGAAGAGATTTTTATGTATAAATAAAAATGTTAAAGAGAGCAACACACCTGTCTGAACAAAATTCCAATTAGATTGGGCTAAATTTGAATTTGAGAGCTGGATTTGGGTTAAAGCGCAAAGGTTTAAAAAACTCTTTCAAAGACACGCACATTTTGTCATCTCAAAAGAACAAGTTTTACCTTTCTCTGAAGCCTTCTGGCTTTCTTGATGAAAATCTGAAGTTGGCCACTCTGAAAAAAAGTGTGTTATGGAATCGAAACAAAAATCTTAATGATAAATTCAGGCATTTAAACATTTAAAAGCTGAAATGTTATTCAAAGCAAAATTCTAGCAACCTTTGACTATCTGCTAGTTCACAGCAAAAAAAAAAAAAAAAAAAAAAAACCCCAGAATAAACAATTTAATTATTAAGAAAACTAATGAGCTGGAATGTTTTTGATAAACAAGGATGGGTGGTTCAGAGAATTTTTGTATTCAAATCTTCTAAACTGGCATTTACAAACTTCAAATGCATTTTTATGAAACTAAATTTTTTACGGAGAGATCCAAAATCTCTATTGTCCTGTTGCCTCTCTCCCTATAATATTGCCTATATCTTCCGAGCACAGCACCTAGACCTCGTCCTAGTTTAGCTTTAATGAGCATTAAAATAAACCAATTCTTCTGTGTAGAGCCAAAATACAGTGTTTCACATTGAAACTGGAACTCTCTGAAACTGCTGGTCAGCTGCATTCATCCACCTTTAATTAAGATTGCTGCAAGTGTAAGTATTCTCAAACTGTCCAAACATGACCAGCTGAGGAAATCAAGTAACTGGGGTCAGAGACTCTAACTGGAAATTATTTTGTGTATTAGGAAGATATGAAAGAAGATAAATGTTGCAGAGAGATGGCTCAGAGAGAGAAAAGCGGTACCCAGGCAAACTCTGGCAGGACAGTGCTACAGGGTATCTCCCCTTGGAAGAGGTGGGGGCAGCAAGAGCTGGAGCTGTGACCACACGTCTCCTTTCCTCTTATGTTCAGGGAGATGCCATTTTGTACATTCCCAAAAATGAACAGGAGAGCACGAAAGGTGTCACAACACCTAATACACGGTGCCTTGACTGCTGTCCACCTCTGCAGGTCAGGGGACTAACGAGGAAGAGGCTGTCAAAAGCTTGGGCACTTTCAGTTATTCATATCTCCTTCTCTCAAGTATATACATGTACTAAAAAAAATTCAAATACATTTTTAGTCATCTTCACGCTGCATGCACGTACATATATAAAAATACACACACAGACACACACACGATGTCTCTTTAGAAGCCATAAAAACAGATAAGCCATTCTTAGTACAGCTCCAGAGCCTTCTGGAATTACATCAGTTCTACACACATGCACTCAGAGAAGTTGCCATCGCGGCGGAGACCAGTCTACTTGCAACCAGCTGCCAGCCAAGCAGGAAACAAAACTGGGTCCTTGCTCCAGAATGCCTGTAACAAAAATACAAGATGCAAAGAACTAAAGGAAAACTAAAGCCTCACAGATACTGGAAAAAAAAAAAAAAAAAAAAAAAAAAAAAAAAACCACCAAACAGGTGTCCTGTTCCAAAACTTCTACTTCCAATCTATAAAATGGACACTTTTGATGGACATCAGGTTGTGTGTCCCTGGAATGAAATATGGATCTATAGCTTTTATGAAAGTAAAGTATTTCAAAGAGGGCATGAAAGAGAAAAGACATTTTAAATATAATACCTCTCTCAGGAGGAATCAGTCTCAATGTCAGTTCATGACACTGCAGACTTTGATGGTGCTTTGACAAATATTTTCTCTAAGGTGAACTATAAGTTGGTTTAGTTTTACCTTTTTTTTCCTTCACTTTTAGTTTATGTAGGAATTGCACTGAAATGACAACCTCTACTCCCTCCAATCATTCAGTGATCAGAGAATAAAACCCATTTATTTTTATTAAACTGCTACCACCTATTAAGGTTATCAAGACCATTAGCTCATGAGAAAATATTGTGTTCAATGTAATTTTAATTTTTACCTGCAAGAAAGAGCAGAAGTAAGATACACTTAAAAGAGCAGTATTAAGTTGTATTTATTAATTTCCTTTAACAAAAAATGTTATTTGTCATTCTGGCAAGCTAATAAAAGATGCCCTGATATTTTCACTTTACTCTTCCAATTTTGGAATGGCCTGCAGTTTTCAAGATGTTGTTTTAAAATTTTGTCTCAAGTTCTTGGCTTAAAATTTTTTGCAAAAACCAAGCTATCTCTTCATTCCACATTGCTTTTCAGTCTCAAAATAGTCATCTAACATGAAAACACAGAGCTGTAACAAGCAGAGCTGCCAAGATAACAGCAAGAAAATCCATCCTTTACTTCTACCTTGGTGCTAAGATATATTTTGCACCATTTTAAAATATTTTGTTTTAAAATGGATTATTTAAAATCTAAATTGAGAAAAGGATAAAATAGGTGATAGTAGCTGTGCTGCCTGAAAAGCCTCATGACCCACAGCCACAGTTCAGATTTTTTTTTTCTCCTTTAATGCATTAGGTTAGGAGGAGAAATTATTTTCCTGTTCAGCCAACTCAGTCACTCAATTTTCACTTCATGCACAATTCCAATGGTCTGCCATCTCTATCTCCTCCAATTTTCTCCTTCCATTCAACTGCTGTCATTGTTGAAGCATAATATAATGGTAACTTACACTGTGGCATCAGAGAATGCTTTATTTCTTTGCTCTTGCTCTGTTGAACAAGGAATACTTCTTGTCTTTTTCTATGCATACATTGGGCATTTTCTTCAAAAGGATTGCAACTCTTCAAGTCTCCATTTGAGCTGTGAAATTTTCTCCAAAAGTCTCGTAAGAACTTGTATGTGCAAGAGTACTTTCCACTATATTAATGCTTTCCAAAGCATGAAGGCACGTGCTTTCAGTTTTAATGGAAAAATTAAATCTTTATTTCCTAATTATATAGGAAGTAATAGTCATTAAGTGTTACCTATAGGAAAAGTTGTCAGTGGTCAAGGCTGAAATTTACTCATTTACACCTCAAAGAGCATCTGATATGTAGAGAGAAGGATCCCCCAGTTCTGGACTCAAAATGCTTTTATCATTCTTAGAGGACTGCTGTAGAGCAGAAAAATTATTAAATAGTTCCAGTGAAACAAATGAAAAAAACTTTGAGACATTTCTCCAAACGAGTCTAATTAGATATGTTCTGATGTATCAGAACCTGGTATTGGTGGAGATTAGTATCTTTTTCTTTAAATTCACAAAGAAAGCTAAAAGAATGCAAGCACAGCTAAGAAGGTCAAAAAGTGAAAACAAACTACATTGCTCCCAGCACCATAAAAGAAAGTATTTGATTCAGAATAAAAGTATTTCACAACAAGGTTTTTGTAGACCAATTTCTTTTCCAAACCTATGTTTGGCACAGGACTGCGGGAAAGCATTTTCAGCTCCACATCATTTTCTCAGACTTGAAATTTGTGTATTCAATTTGAGGGCCAAGAATTTGGTATCCACCAATTCTCCAATACTGTAATGAAGCTAAGAATATAACGATGCTAACAAAAAATGTCTGAAGCACACCCTACCTGTCCTCCCCAGTGCAGCATCAGTCTTCACAGAGGGATGTCAGAGGTGTTGAATAAAGGCCACCAAAACAGTGACAGCTTCTCCAAGTGTTATTCCTTCTGTAGTGCTCGCCAAAGACCATTGCACAGCTTTGCATCCCATATGTAGACAGAAAACAACTGCACAGGCATCACTGTGTATCAAATCAGGTGGTATTAATGAGACAGTAACTGACGACAATCTGTGTTGTGATGTTTAAATAATAAGAACCAATTAGATAGCCATATAATTAAGGATGTTGAGGACAAAACTGATATCCTAGACCACTTACAAAGCAGTTATCAGAGTAATATAACAAAATAAATTATTAAATTCTCAGTTTAGACTTTTTCTGTTATAGAAGAAGGATGAAGCTTGACACAGTTACAGCTAATAGATCTTCTTAAACATGATTAAATGTTTAAGAGTAAACACATAAAACTAGCTTATTCAATGAAATGGCACATTTTGATGCAAGTATGATCCAATTGTCTTCTTACTATGTAAAATTTACCAGCTGCTTCATCTGAGGAACGAAATAGAGAGATATAGGGACCAACAGTGGAGATGGTTGGTAAATCTTAGACTTCTTTCTCAGGAAAACATCCTATTCATCAAAAAATCTCCTAAAATGAGATAATAATAAACTGAACTCAATTTTATTCTCAGTGTAGGGGAAGAGAAAGGAAGCTTAAAAGTTAACAAGAAGTTTTGAACATTTTCAAAATAAAACCCCAAATCCTGTATTTCAAACAAGAAAGGACTTCTTAACTAATATTAAGACAGTAAAAATTTCAGACTTTAGGAAAAAAAAAAAAAATCCTACAGGGTAATACATTTGACTGCAAATCTCAGATCAGGGTGCATTTTTTCTCACTCCTCCTTCCTTAAACCAGGAAAAATACTGTGCTAGGAAAGTAACGATTATCTTTCATGAGTCTGTTGAAGTGAACAGTATTGTATTCATATAATAAACAGAGTTGACAAAATAAGAGCCAAGTCTTTTATTCGCTCAGCAGTTCAGTTGGGAGATTGATTTCCTAGCAGAACTTGTTTAGACTGCCTATCTCCACATGATTAAACAGGAGGCTGCCAGTGGTAAATTTAAATATTCAAGTATATTTAAAGCAAGGGAAGACCAGAAAGAGACAGGCAGCATCCACCAGAAGGTGGGGGTTCACGGTATTAAATGATACTGTAATTCTAATACCTGGACATACCCAGGGATCCCAATTAGTTGCCATACACACTGTTAAGCATAGACTGTAACTCAAATCTTATCCCTTGGTTGTGAGCTCTTCTTAACCAGTCCCCGCCCTCCCCACATACCCCAGTTCAGTAAATAGCATTGTATGACATGCTATAGATTTTCCCTTTCTATTGCCTTAATAAAAGCAAGGAATAAGGGATTACTGATTCATGTTTTAGGAGGAGATAGAGAGGTGTGGAAAGAGTTGATCTTTCACATTTCTGTAAAATACTAATTTTTTAATGAGCATCTAAATAGCCATTCTTGTTTACTGTTATTAATGACATTATCCCAAATATTTCCAATAGCTTTCTCATACACTATTCCCATTCTGCCCCAAAGAGTTGGTTTTACACAGGAAAACATGGAGAATAAACTTTAGACTTTACTCTTGTCAGAGCTTTTGGACTCTGCTCAGTCTGAGCCAGCAAAAGTTCCACATACATTTAGTCTTGTGCGCTATACACCATACTTCAGTACAAAAGTAAAAGTTAAGGTTTAACCCTAGGTTTAGGCTTCTACATGAGCCACATTAAAACTGAAAAATCTTTTTTAGTTATATTAGCGAAGTGATTAATGCTCTCATTTTCAAATCTAACTTCTTGAAATTTGAACAGCTCCTGACCTCGTTACTGTCTGTGTTCCTCTTGGAGCATAAATTTTAAGTATTGTATTCCCCAAACCTTGCCCTTTCTGTTCTGAACAATATTGTGTTGCTTTAAAGTCAAACTCATAACATTTATGAAACAGGAAAAACATTGAAGATACATTGAAACTGAGGAATATTTTTGAACTAAATAATACAACTGTTTTTAAAATTTCAACTAATGGCAGCATGATGTTTTTATATGTTGCTTAAAAGTTATTTTATTTGGGACAGATAAGCATTCAGATCATCAAAACCTAGAATGAATGATTTACAGTCCTAAAGTAGACTGTCACAGATTGTTATGAAAGTTTATGCAGAAATTATCTGTGGTGGAACTAGGTCCAAACTGCTATCCTAAGATGATACCCTTCCCAGGGAGAATAGATGACAGGATTAGTTGTCTCAAAAAAATGCCAGACTTTACTTACAATGCTACACGTTTGTTGTTTGGTTTGGGGTTTGGTTTTTTTTACAAGCAGGATTTGAAAGGTGGAACCCTAAATCATCTTAAAAATAATTATAACAATATGAATGCAATCATATATAACTTGTAAGCAGGGCATTTCCCTGAATACTGACAAAGCATTTTTTTCTTCTAATGGACAGCTAGAGGATTTTTCTTTAAAAGATTCAAAACTTTAGACTAAAGCAAAAGAAGTTTTTACCTCAAGAAGATTAGTTAAGGGCACATCAAGCCTTTATACACCGTGAAAGACAAAAATAATTGCTACCAGAGAACAATTGCTGTTAGTCATTGGGATAAAAAATGCTGGCCTGACATCTCTGAAAACTGAGTTACAGTTTATCAGTTTATCCATAAGAAACACACAACAGGGGCAGGCGCAATATAAAAATTCAGATCTCTTCACAGTCATTATGACTAATACTGATGAAGAAGGATTATCTTGTGCTTACATTTGT